CATAAAAAACAAAAGTTAGTATGATTAATAAAATAATTAAGGAAAAAAATAAATTTAAAACAAATTTATAATTTTATTGCAAAGACAATTATTAATAAACTGGTGGCTTGACTCTCTTTTAAAAAGTCCCCACAGAGTCGCCAAGCTGTCAAGACGTTTCTCTGCCGGCGACGGAGAGTGCAAATAGTACACCTAAGTGTAACTAGTTTTGAAAAAGTAAGTGTTTATCTTCCTTGAATCAGATAAAACATCAAATTGTAGAGTCACCACCAATCTTTTAATATGGTAAGATTGGTACCAAAATGTTATTTTATTCTAATAAAATTCCTGAGAATAATATTAAAATAATACAACAAAGGGTCTGCTTACCAGAAAAATGAGTTCGGGAGTCGGTTACATATAGAGAAAGATTAGCACCCCATAACGCCCAAAATTGGTACCGGTATTTATTAATTAATGTCTTTGCAATAAATTATCAAATTTTTATTTAATTTTAATTAACAAATAACTGAAATAAATTAGTACTTAATGTTATTTAATATAATATTAATAATCTTATTATAATACTAAATATTAAAATTACATAGGTTAAATTATAAAATATGAAAATTAATAATCCTAATATAAGATATAAATATTAATAGTATAATTAATCATATAGTAATAATTAATGATTAAAATATAAAATATTAATATTAATTAACATAATTCGAAATAATATTAAAATAGTGTACTAATAATATAATTTACTCTATTATTATACAAATTAAAATATAAATTATTAAAGATATTAAGGACTAAATATGATAATTATCCTAAATATATATATATATATATATATATGCAGCAGTGATTGAAACATAAGTGAATAAAATTAAAATACATAAAACATGTTTTTAATGACTAAATTGCAAAATTACAAAGTAACAAGGACCCCGAGCTCAATTTTCCCATACCCGAATTTACACGCATGCCTCTCCTAAAAACAACATTGTTCGAGGATGGGTATATATAGGCCCTAAACCGACCTAAAGAGGATTCAAGCCTCATTTTCCCTCTTTGTTTCTTTCTCTTAAAGAGAGAAGCTCTCGCATCTCTTTAGAATTCTCTCACCGGAGAGAATTCGTCCCCGGCCGACCACCATGCGCCGTCGCCGATAGCCACCGCCGGCCACCACTCACGGTGGCCAAAAATTACCAAATTTACCCAAATCAAAGCCCTACTTGTTCTAAAGTCGAATCCGACAACATTTTCTCCTAAAAAGCCCTAAATCGCAATAGATATAAGATTTATACCTTCGGTATTTCGATTTCTCAAGCTACGCTTGGGCTCGCCGACGACGGTAAGGCTTCCTTCGCTCTCTTCTCACTATTTTGTTGGTTTATTTACTGTGTATTGGGTGCTTGTTCCTCGTTGTTGTGTTTTCTTGCAGGTTCGACCCTATTTATTGGGCTCTTTGAACCATTCTTTGGACCAGTTAAAAGAATGAACCCCGGTGAGTCATCGGAGCTACGGTGGTGACTCACCCTAGGGGCTATGAGCTGTGCGGTGGAGGGACTAGGTGCATTAAATGCACCCAGATCTCGCGGATCCGGTGAGGACGTGGCAGCTGCTGGTTGGAGGCGACAGCGGCGAGGGCATCATCACTTCTATGGCGCACTTCTTTGGCAACGGTCGAAATAGCCCTAGGGTGTAATGAGAACCCTAGGGTTCCTGCTGGTCACGTTTAGGACCGTTGGATTTCTCCAGATCCAACGATTGAGATCTGTGCGGCTAGAGGAGATGAGATGAAACCCTAATTGCCTTTGGATTTATTTCTGGGGCTGTTCGGGTCAAGTCTGGACCTGAACCGAGTCCGAATCTGCTAGGATTTGATTATAATCGGGTACATTCGGGTTTAATGTGTAAATGGGCCTTCGGTTGCAATTGGGCCTTCGGGTTTAATGTGCATTTGGACCTGTAAAATTGTAATAATTAATTATAATATAATATAATAATAATAATAATAATATAATACTTATAACGAATCAGGACTCGGACGAAACGACTGTCAACAACAATCATTTATATGACCTTAGATATATATATATATAGTTAGAAATTCTTTTAGGTCTGAAAAGCCAAAATTTAAATTAGGACAGTGAAATATGCATAACTTTAAAGTGCCACGTGACTTTATACAAATCTATGTGAATGTCCTACAAGTTATGAAAAGTTTGTAAAAATACCCTTCGAAGAAATCACACCCGATTTTAATTTACACTATGCACTATCCCTCACCGGTTTTATATACTTCACAGTGAAAATCCGATCAAGATGGAAACAAGTGGCTCTCGTGTTTGATGTTTGGCTTGGGCAAAGGTGAACGACGTCGGGGTTGGCGAGAAGAAAAACAACGTCGGGGTTGGCGAGGGGGCTAAAGACGTCGAGACTAGTGAGAAGACGAATGACGTTGGAATTGGCGAGAAGACAAATAGCACCGGCAGTTGATCATCGGAGGTAAGATCGGTTGACAAAAAAAACATATTAATGTTTTGGGAATATGAAAATCCTTCGACCACTATTATTTATTATTATTATTATTAAATTAAATTAATAATTAAAATTTTATCTAAACATTACTTGTTTATTTAAATAATATTTAAAGTTTAAAATAGATTAGAAAACGGAACGACAGTTAAAATCCCACAATTATTGAAATTCTATCTTGAAAAGGGTTAATTGCGATCTAAATCTCTCAAATTTTTAAAACATATAAAAAACTAATAATGCATATCGATATCTGGTATTAATCGTGCACATCGGCAAAAGGCATTCATTATAGAATTTTTTATTTTAGTATATATCATTAGTGATATATATCGATGTGTGATATTTTCTCTAGACTCATCCTTATATACATATATCTTGTTCGAACGTTGGAAAGAAACTTCCACCGGTTATAGAATTTTTTATTTTAGTATATATCATTAGTGATATATATCGATGTGTGATATTTTCTCTAGACTCATCCTTATATACATATATCTTGTTCGAACGTTGGAAAGAAACTTCCACCGGTCATACCTAAAAACGCTGTCCAAATTTTCAGCCCTGCATGTGAGTGTTATCCAATCAGTATATTACAAGTATATGGGGTGGGATTCATGGGAGTTAAGAAGGAAATCAATCGAGTATGATCGTATAGTCAATTTGTAGATAAAAGATTAGCGTATTGCGGTGACACTTCAACATACTTGCAAATTAAATGTCATTTACATAAATATATTTGATCAGTCACTTATTTTATTTTTATTTTATGTTTATTATTTAGTATAAGATTTTTTTTATAAAACTAGGTGAATACAAGATAAATTCTGCTAAAAAACCTTTAATCATTTAATAATAAACGTTCGTTCACATAGCTTACGTGGTGCTCGAACCCAAAATCTCAAGAGATAACAATAAATTTCTTAATCACTAAAGTCATTTTGTTCGTGCATAATTTAACGTAACTTAAAGTACATATTTTAGTGAAACCAACACAAATAACTTGTTTAGCTCATGACTAGCCCAATGACTGGATGTCTAATTCCTTTTCAAGAAGGCCAAGGTTTAGAACCTTTATCCTAAATAATTTAAAAATAATTAAGTGGGCAAAATAAAAACATGCGAATATATGACTCATTGAATAGATAATTTAATTTAATAGTATCCTAAATCGGTAAAGTCGATCTGTCCTGCTCAGATGGAGTATGTGTATAAAAAGTTTAGGGTAAATTACATGTGTAATGCTTAAAGTATTATCTTAATTTTGTTTTTTTACTACAACTTTATTCTTTTTCAAAATTATACTAACATTTAGTTTATTTTCATTTTGATATCATGCAATTAAAAACTTAAAGAACTGCTGACGTGACATATAAGATAATACCACGTCATCATTGAGAAAATAAAAATATCATATCATCAGTTCTATTAAGTTTTTAATGGCGGATATCAAAATGAAATTTAAACTAAACATTAGGTATACTTTTTAAAAGGTATAATGCCAAATTTAGCCCCAACGTTTATCAAAGTGGTCATTTTGCTTCATATTCTATATTTTTTTAGCATTTTGGCCCTCAACGCTTCGTTTTAAGGCAAAAAGATCACTAATATTTGACAGAAGAATCACTTTGTCCTTTATTCTTTTTTGTTGGGGCATTTTAGACATCAACATTTCATTTTAGGGTAAAATGATCCTATTTTAGAGTGTTACTTCTGAGTTAACTATAATTTTCATCTACAGAGAGTTTTTTGTCCCAAAGTGAAGCATTGGAGGGCAAAATACTCAAAAAAAAGTAATAGAGGCCAAAATGATAATTTTGATAAACGTTGGAGGTTATTTTTCATATTATTTAAAAAAATTAGTTTAAATATTAAAATAAAATAAAAATAATAATTTAGATATTAAATATGTAATTTACTCAAAAGTCCAAGGAGAGAGTCAATAGAAAGATGCCACCTAAAGGGGTATGGATGCCAGAAACGTAGGATAGTCCAACAAGTTGAACGTGTTAAAAGCCACCGTAACCCATGTGTCAATGTTACAGAAGCCTGAATCTTCAAGCAACCTCTTTCATTTCGTTTATTTTTCTCTAATTTGCCGCTAACCTCAAAAGCTGTCCATCACCCACACGTATTTCATTCAAACCTTTGCACGAATCAAACTGTTTCAATAATATAAAAATTATTATTATTCTATTTAAGTTTCGTACAAAACAAACGATATTAATTATAAAAAATTATTATTACATTTTAAAAATTTTGAATTTGTATATTATAAAAATAAAAAATGTAAATATTTTATATATAATAATTATATTTAAACATATATTATTTTGTATTTTTGATATCAGTAATAAAAGAAATTTTCCATTCAAACACTGAACGCAATCCCCCTTAACTGCTCTCTTAACGTTTTCATAGTTTTCAACTTTGCCTCAACAAACAAGCAAAACCAAAGTTTCTAAATCTCCTCCAAGATTCTCCCTATTCCCTCCTCTCTTTTTTTTTTCTTTATTTGGGTGCTTCTCTCCATCAAAGTTGGAGCTTGAATATAATAAAAATGGTAACTTTGACATTTGCTCCTGTTTTCCACCCAAGACTGTCGGTGTTCGAACACAATGGATCCCTTTTCGTTTCCAGAAGAAAATACAAGAAGAAGGACCAAGCTTTTGTCCCTGTAAATTCTTCTTTCTCAGCTTTTGGTTGAATTAAGTTAAGATTATAGTGTTTGATTTGATTATGGATTGGATTAGGTAGCAAGGTTGTTTGGGCCAGCTATATTCGAGGCATCGAAGCTAAAGGTATTGTTCTTGGGAGTCGATGAAAAGAAGCATCCGGGGAAGCTACCCAGAGCTTACACCCTTACCCATAGTGATTTAACCTCTAAACTCACTTTAGCCATCTCCCAAACCATTAACAATTCTCAGGTATGATTTCATAACCCATTTTTTTTTTTTTTGAAAAGATAAAAAAAAGGGGAAAAATAACAGGGGATGAGGAATGATTTAAGGCAACTACGAATTTAATACATAAACTATTAATTTTAGACTGTTTTAGTACTTAAACATTTAATTCTTTTAAAAACGTATATAATATTAGATCGAAACTAATAATTTAGGTATTAAATTCGTAATCTACTTATTTTTTTTTCTAAAATCATATTTAACATAATTTTTTTTTTGTAACAAAACTAAACATTTGTTATAAATTTTAAAAAAATAATTGGACAATGAAAATATAACAAAAATTATAGTTGAGATATTAAACTTGTAGTTAAAAAAAAGGAAAAACATATATAGAAAAGTTTGATATGATTTGGGGGTTGATTACAGTTGCGGGGATGGGCAAACAAAATATACAGAGACGAAGTGGTGGCGGAATGGAAAAAAGTGAAGGGAAAGATGTCTTTGCATGTTCACTGTCACATAAGCGGCGGCCATTTCCTGTTGGATTTGTGTGCTAGACTTAGATACTTCATCTTCACCAAAGAACTCCCCGTGGTAATTTCTATTTATCATTTTCTTTAGGATAAATTACGCGCTTAATACTTAAATTATTAGTTTTGTTCAGTTTTTGTACTTCGTCTTTTAAAATTTAACGCGTTTAATATTTAAACTATCATTTTTTGTCTGTTTTAATACCTAAACTTCTAATATTTTTCAAAACTTAACGTTTAAGTTTTTAATGGGTACTAAGATGAAATAAAAACTAAATGTTGACTATGGATTTGAAAAAAAAATACAAGTTTAAATTAATATTACTGAACGCCCGTAATTTACCCTTTTCTTTATGATTATGATTTTAATCCCTTTATTATTCTTTTATAATTTTACATCATTTGATTTGTATTATATTATTAGTACCATTTGGTTGTTTTCAATTAATAATAAATTTTTATAATAATTAAATATTAATATATTTTTTAAATATAGATGTAAATGATACTATCAAGGGTAAACAACATGTTTAACACCTTAACTATTACTTTTATTTCGTTTTAGTTACTCAATTATTTTTTTAAATCATACTTAATATTATTTTTAGTTTCATTTTGATTATTTACTGTTAGAAAATTTTATGGTGATATTGACATTTTATTATAAGATAATGTCATATCATTGTTGAAAAAATATCATGTTAACAATTTTATTAAATTTTTAATGATAAGTGGTTAAAATGAAATCAAAATGTAATTTAGGTATAATTTTTTAAAAAATAATAGTTAGGTGATAAAAAAAATTAAAGTGATAGTTGACTGCCAAACGTATAGTTTACCCTATTATCAACTTAGATGAATTAATACTATTATAAAAATAGCATTCCAAAAGATAATCTATAAAAGTGTAGAGGGGATATATATCTAAATTCATAATTCTAAAGGGACTAAAACCATAATTATATAATTTATTTACCAAATGTGTTTTACTTGGTATTAGTCTCCTGGAAAAAAATGAATTAAGCTCCTTGCATTATTGAAATAGGTGCTGAAGGCGTTTGTCCATGGCGATGGGAATTTGCTGAAAAACTACCCAGAATTACAGGAGTCATTGGTTTGGGTTTATTTTCACTCCAACGTTCCAGAATTCAACAGGGTGGAGTGCTGGGGTCCGTTCGTGGAAGCTGCAGCGCCTTCTAGCGGCGGTGACGACGGTTGTGATGGGTGGGGACAATGGAAAAGACAAGAAATCTTTGAAAGTAGGCGGGAATTACCCCAGCCATGCCAAGAGAACTGTACTTGTTGTTTCCCACCAATTAGCTTGATCACGTGGTCACCAACGCACACCGATGAAAATGAACATGGGACCCAAGCTGCTTCGAATCTCAAAACCATCAAATGAATTGTGTTGTTGTTTGTTGTTGATAAGTACTGTTTTCTTTGTGATGAAAGAGAAGATGTAAATACAAAAACGTTAAAAACATGTACTCCCACACGCATCTGATTCCCTGGGTCTGAACTTTATTATGAAACTGCCCGCTTTAAACAATGAAGTGGGGTTATATCAGTCGTGTTTGCTTTCACTTTACGTCTGCTTGCATTTAACCACATTAACTGGAAAATTAATATTTATGCGATTTGGGAGGTTTAAGATTAAAGAAATGTGTTATCACAAATTTTAATATTTTTGTTAAAACGTTATTAAAACATTATTTTTTACCGAAAATGTTAGTATTGGGTGTTACCTAAAATGTTTAATATTTCCGGTAAAACGTAACCTAAAACATTATTTTTCACATGAAATGTTAATATTAGACACTATCTAAAATATTTTTTTACCGGAAATAAATTAGTAAAATTAATATTTTCGGTAAAAAAATAATATTTTAAGTAGTGTTTTACTGAAAATATTAAAAAAAATATTAACATTTTCGATAAAATCATTTTTTAACCGTATGTTAAGGTTATTGTACACCAGAACTACTCATGCGATTTCGGGATAAATGAATATCTATCTAAATTACTTTAGTGGCGAGATTAGAAATACTCATATGTATACCTATATGGTCATAATAGCGAGATCTATTCGAATACCTATGATTATATATATACTTGATGTTAGATGAAATCGATATATATTGTTGTATTACCGATGATGTGATTGAATATTTTCTTGGCAATTAGTGATGAAAGCTCATGATTAGACCCTCGGTTACGTATTAGAGGAAGTATGAGACTAATATTGCTGAGCTAACGTAGCTAACTCATCTTAATCAAGTCATGCCTTAGATTTATGAATCATATATATATGTTTGTTCCTCATTTTTTATACTACTAATATGTTTATGTTTATAAATTTTATGATGAATATTAGATTAATAATATACAATTGAACTTGTGAAGCTCAACGTTTGAATGTTTTCGGATTATTGAACTTGACTAGTTTATGAAACTCCATCATCACATGATTTCTAGCATCCATTTTTTGGTACAATATTTGAGTATTATAGTAAGCATATGTATCCATAAGAACTTTAGATGTATTCAGTCTGTAAACACTATTTATAATTTAGTATTATTTTGATAAATATTTGTAAATAGAGTTCTAGTTTGTAAACATGTTTTAAATGCTTATATAAATTTACTGTTGATTTCATATTTTGATTAAGAATAAAAAAAAAGTGAAATAGTAGTTGCTTTTATGGCTCAATGTAGCACACTGAACACTGGTGATGTACACATAACATTGAAAAAAGAGAAAATAACTTCAGTGACCGAAAATACCTTATAATATACGATTTTAACCAACGTTTTTTGGATTTACGAAAATGACCAACAAATTCGCAACGCGATCTCAAATTCGCAACACAGTTTGCAAATTCGCAACGCGATTTTCCCAAATTTGCAACTCAGTTTCTGTAATCGCAACGCAATTTTCCAAATTCGCAACGCGATTTCCAAATTCGCAACACGAAATTTCAAATTCGTAACTCGATTTCTGAATTCGCAACACAAGTTTCCTTTTCACAACAAGATTTTCTAAATCGCAACACGAATTTTGTTTTAGCAACTCAATTTTTGAATTCGCAACACGAATTTTAATTTCGTAACAGCTTTTATTTTCGCAACACAAATGTTTTGGGTATATAAACTACGCAGCTGCAACAACTCATAACCTAAATCCCTAAATCGCAACTCATTCCATCTTCATCTATCACTCTCTCCGGCGACATCCGTTCCTATATCCAACGACATCCTTCCCCATCTCTATTTTTTTACATAATTTTATTTCTATATAATTTTTCAATGATTTCTCTCCCAAATTATCAACTATCAACTTAATAAAAGGTATGTTTTTCTCTAAGTTAGTGATGATATCTAGTTTATAGCTCGTTTGTTTAGTAAATTAATTTACAATTTGTAGAATGAAACCATCTAATGTTGATCATGTTGGATAGATTTGTGTTTTGGAGGGTCATGGGAGAATGTTCATGGTGTTTTACAATATATGCCTTTACCCATGAATCTTCAACTAAAACTGTCATTAAAAAAGTTAACTTATGAAACTCTAATGTTACGTGTTGTAAAGAAATTGAATTTAGAGCCCCTAAGTGGATTTAGGCTATCTTATCAGAGAAAATGTAAAGTTTATTTGTTAACCGACAATGAAGATGTTGAACGATTCATTGCTTACATTAGTGTTTCGCAAGAAGATGATGTTACATTGTATGTTGTTGAACATAGAAATAGTGAAGTTGGGTCAGTAGTGGGTAGTAATCAACTAAGTTCTTCAACCCCAGTTTATGGTGCTCACAATGTACAACGTTGTTATCAACCTCAAAATTTAATGGTTCCACCACAATTTCATCACCAAGAAAATTTTGTTTCACCACATTTCCAATTCCAAACACAATATCAAACACAATCTCAAAACCCACAACCTTTCCCTAATCCAAATCCCAATAAACTTTCAGCACCAAATTCTGGTTTTCGTATTGACCAATTAGACGATGATGAGCCAACAGAAAAAATTGTGAGTACTAGTCAGTATTTGAAATTTGATCTTGGTCAATACCCGGACTTTGATCTTGGTCAATACTCGGATTTTGATGATGTTTCAGAAGAAGAAACAGACCCTGCGTGTAATGATTTTGATATTGGTCAATACCTGAATTTTGATGATGAAACAGCCGCTGTCGAGGAAGATGTTGTTGATGATAATGAGGAGGAAGTTACGACTGTGAATGAACATGTTGAACATCCATTTTGTAATTCATATAACCCTAAAGAAGAAAAAGAAGAAGAAGTCCCCAAAGAAAAGAAAAAGAAGAAAATGCCACGGGAGTATAACTGGAATAAGCCAGAATTACTTTAGATACCGGAAGAAGAGTTGGTAAAGATAGCAGTTGATTGTTACACAAAAGTTATTTGTATCAAGAAAGATGATTTTTTTGATACAAAGGAAGACTTGAAGATAGCTTTGTATACGAAATGTATGGAAGATGACTATCAACTAAAAGTTAACAAATCACGCAAAGATCGTTTCAAAACAAAGTGTATGATTGACAAAAAATGTACGTGGCGTATGATTGCAAAGAGGATAAAAGATTACGAAATGTTTCAAGTTAGGACTTTTATTGATAAACATACATGTTCAAGAACCCAAGTTTTTTCTCACCATAGACAGGCAAACAAAAAGGTGTTGGGTGGTTTTATGGATAAGTTAATATTTTTGAATGGTAGGGTATATCGGGGACATGAAATTATGACTGACATGAATGCTCGGTTCAAGATTAGTATCTCATATTCTCAAGCTTGGAGAGCCAAATGTTATGCCTTGGAATTGTTGAGGGGGTTGCCAAAAGCATTGTTTCCCCAACTGTCGACTTATTGTCACAATTTAAAACTGAAAAATCCTGGGTCGGTAACTCGTATCAAAACAGATAGAGATGGACGCTTTGAGTTGCTGTTTATCGCCATTGGTGCTGCGATTAGTAAATCAATATAATTTTGTTGACTCATTTTTGTTACTTACATGCATTTCACATTTAAATGATTATATTTCTTGTGTATATTATTTTGTAGATTCGTTCGTTTATTACTTGCATGCGCCCAGTTATTATAGTTGACGGAGAACATTGAAAGATCGATACCTTGGAGTAAACTTATTAGCAGTAGCCATGGATGCTAACAATGGGATATTGCCAATAGCTTATGGGGTTGGCAAATCTGAAACCTCTGATTCATGGACATGGTTTATGGGTCATCTTAGGGATTACATAGGTCCTATTAGCAATCTGACAATCATATCCGATAGGGTAAACTCAATTGACAATGCTGTTAAAAGGTGTTTCCCAGATGCTTTTCATGGACTTTGTGGTGTTCATTTGTATAGAAATCTAAAATCAAGGTCTGCTGGTATAAAAAATCACAAATGGACATACTGGAAGGTTGTAAAAGCTTATCGGGAAGTGGATTTTAATAAGCATATAAATTGTTTAAGACGTGTTTTGCCTCAATGTGCTCAAACACTAGAAGATGTCGGGTTTGAAAGATGGTCAATAGTACATCAACTTGGAGCAAGATATGGTTTCATGACGTCTAATAGTGCAGAATCAATCAACGCTCTAAGTCGTCATTCCTGAAAATTACCCATTACTATGTTAATGGAGTTTTTTCGAGCCTCTATTCAACAGTTGTACTACAAGAAAAGAAACTATGCAAGTATTATTTCTTTAAATTTATAACTTATCATATTTAATATATTTTACTATGTATTATTTATTTAAATTTACAGGAACATTGGAACGTCGTGTTACACCATGGACTGAAAAAAGATAACGAAACGTGTTGTGAAGTCAACGCCATGGAGAGTTGAACCATGTTCAAACACTTTGTTTGAAGTATTGTATAATAACTTAAATGGGCTTGTCGATCTAAATGCAAAGACGTGTAGTTATATGAAATGGCAAACATCTGGTTATACGTGTGACCATGTTATAAAAGTTGCTCTTCATCTAAACCAAGATGATTCAAGCGCATACGCTATGAATTGCTACACTACAGAAGTATATCGACAGACTTATGCCGAGATTGTCTACCCTATTCCACATCCTTCTGAGTGGGACATACCAGATGACTTACAAATAGTTTTGCCACCAGTCATGGACAGCAGGCTACCTGGCCGACCAAAAAATCACGATCGTATACCGTCTAAGGGTGAAGAGAAGAGGATGTCAACATGTAGTCGGTGCAAGGAAAGTGGTCATACAAGGTTGACCTGTGGATCACCAGTGCCATCACAATCATCTTTTCCTCTACCAAAATATGGATCCTCATCAAAAGCCAAAGCTCATATGGTGCCAAGAAAAATGAAATCAAAATCGCAATCAAAATCAAAATCCCAATCACAACCGGCTTCACCTTTTGGGACTTATTAACTTAAGTGATTTTTAAATGCAAACGTTGTATTATGTGTATTTTATATGTGAATGCATACATTTTCAGTTAGACATGAA